TCGAACGGCGTGCCAGATAACCATATGGCTCGCTGCTGAACCGCCCAACCCACCTCCACGAAATCTCGACTTCTGCGAATCGGACTGCCATCCTCTCCAATGCCAACAATCCATGTCGTCGTCATCATGCATGTATATATACTCATCGCATTATCATGTTCACTAGATGCGGCACCGCGGGCCTCCATGGTACGGGCTGCTGCCTTTCCGCGGTGCCACGGCTCTCCAAAGCCAAATAAATAGACTAAAAACTAAGGACTAAAGACAAAATGCTTTGCTGACCAACAGCCGGTCGCGCCTTAAAAGAAAGAACACTAGTGTTTCCTCGTTTAGAGGATACAAACTCCAAAACTACACCATACTAGTGGCGCACATCACTGAAATAACATACGCAATACAGAAAATAACAGAACGTCTCTTGAACGCAAAACGGCAAAATACACATAATTGGGGAGATTTTTAGTTTTAAAAGCCAAATTCAGAAACTTAAACTAATGTTTGCTGAGTCTCGGGGTATATCGTGTGCATCGTTTGGAAGAAGTATCAAACGAAAACAACACGCAACTCATTTGACGTTGTTTCACACCTCGAGACACTGGCTTGCACTGGCGCACCGACCACCGGCGTAGCATAGTGCGTAGTCGTAAAATGTCTGCGACTGATGATGATGATAGCTTATTTGACAAAAAGAAAAGAAAAAAAAAAGACTCGACGCGGACGTTCTTTCCTTCAGGGCTGGATTCGGCGCTGTAGGCGTTATGTCTAATGCAAATGAGCGGAGTGGAATGTATTGCCCCTGGTAAAGTATTTGGACAGACGCAAACGGTGAAAAGGGTGGGAGGCCGGAGAGATGCACAGGAGAGGAGGTTCAGATAGCGGTCGCGCGCTTTGAATTCTCTGTTTATCTTGCTCTAGGGTGCCTACATGTCTGTCTGAGGGTGAAGACATCCATTGTTGCCCTGAATGTGCCAGCGCGTGACGCTCTCGCGCACTCGGTGCCTGACTTGGGCGGTAAAATGGCGTCTATGCATTAGCCAAAGCTACGCGCTCAAGCTGAGTGACACCGGATTGCGCGCACTTCAAAATGCATTAAAAAAAAAAAAAAAACGATTGGGCGGAAAAATGGCTGAGATGTCACCACTCAAGCAAAAGCGCGCGTGTGTATGAAGGCCCTCTATCTTACTCAAGGTTGATACGCCACGTGTCGTGAGAATCGGGAACTAAAACAGCGTGTCTCAGAAAGCTGGCCATGGGTATGAACCAACAAGCTCAACTGTTTACTGTTGTACTTAAACGTTTTGATTCAGGTAAATATGTATGACTGGTAAACAAAGGGATGAGCCATATAAACACGACGTCATGTACGTTAATGTAGATTTTCTTTTACTGTTGTGTCGAAATTAAATAACTTAATTTCATATTTCTGGTACCTGAAAACAACAGTGAATCGCACAGATGATAGAAAAAACTATATAGTTAATCGTTTCACGGCTTCAATAGTGTCTATTGCAAGAACGCGGAAAATATATTCTCAATTTAGCGGTTCAAACCGGTTTGAACCGTTATTTTATCTCCCCAGAACTGAACCGAAAGCCGTGAACCCGAACTGAACCGTTAAACATTTCGGTTCGACACTCGGCTCTCAACAGTGATACGTAATTTACGTTGGCTTTGACGCGAATATGATTACAAAATCACAGAGAACTTCCAAACTGCTATAGGCAATTTATTGGGGAGGGAGATAGGGTGGGGGATGCTGACTGATCAAATACATGAAATCTTCGAAGCCTTCACTGCTTTACAAGCAGAGTGGTTGTTCAGAGTGTGTGTAATGAGAGAATAACGCTTTACAAGCGTTATCCTCTCATTACACACACTCTTAAACAAATCTTTAAGATAATTTATTGCATTTGAACATTTTCAGCCTTGAAAGCAAGAATACGGAATTCCCTCCAACGCCGAGGACGAGGATGGGGAGAAGCTCCTGTTTACGCTTGCACTCCGATAATAACAACAGGTATACCTTCCTAGGGAAATTCCTGTGTTGAAAACAGCAAATCGCAATAACCATGCACACATAAATGGCTGCACCTCATTCTTTATAATTTCGAATGTCTGCCACCAAAGCGAACGGAGCAAACGAGTTTCGACAACGGGTGAGCAGAAACCAGACGACGAGCAGATGGTGAACAGATCACGTGACGTATTTACTCGATTTGATCCAACATTACCCCCCGATCGAGGAGGGTAGCCTGAGTAATTACTCCGTAGTAAACAAGTTGTTTCTGGAATGTGAGTTCTCATGTCATCGAGTAAGCGTGAGCAAGTTTTGAAACGCCACGGCACGAAACCTTTACTCCGGAGTCGGATCGAGTAAATTTTGGAACACAGCCTCAGTCTCTCTTCCGTGTCACGTGGTAATTAATTCTGCCCCTGCGCACTGCATTTTGGGATATTTGCAAAAGGTAATCTATCTGACCTTTCTGCTTCCAGGTGGAGGTAATTGAAGCAAGTAACAAGTTACTTGCAAAAAGTCTTTAAAGGGTCCCTGCAAAGACTTTTTTACTGGTTTTTAATTTGCACCAAACCTGAGCGCACTGAACGTAGTAACTTAGTGGAACTTTTCTTTTCTCGAAATTCCCTTTATTTTAAAAGTGATAGGCAAATTAAAATTACAAAAACAAGCAAAATACCTCCCTCATGACGTCCTTGGTTGCTTGAGTGGCCGTGAACTAGAGGAGGGGTAGTGAGCTTATCGAGCGCTCACGGCTGCCGCACTCCGTGACGACGGCGCGAGAGGGTGCCACTAAAGCATGTTTTGGATAGGTTGTGTGCAGCGAGCAGCCAGAGCGGCTCTCGTTGCATTTGCTGCGTGATTAAAGACTAATTCGGCATGACACTTCATTGGCCACAAACGACAGCAAACACGGGGTAAAGATCAGTTCAAAATGGGAGCCACTTTGCGCTGCCATACCACGAAACGGCCAAACTGCAAGACAAAGCTTCTCGCCGAAGGCCTTCGGAACGCTCGGAGCCGGTCGGATCCTCCTGTCCATACGACCGCAGTGCTGCCGCGTACATCCGGGACCTTTCCGTGTCGGCGCCTGATCCCACTACTCCTTTCTTGAATGCACCGCCTTTTCCACCGCTTGGTGGGGGTATGTCGACGGGTCATTTTGTTGTTTCCGTACTTTATGAACTGCATTCCTTTCTTTTTTTTATCTAAAATACTGAACAAAAACTACTTTAATAAATAATTGAAACTGTTTGCGCCACTTATATTTTGTATTTCGACTAAAAAGAAGCTTTTAGCGGCTCTGACCAGTAAGCAAAGGACCAAAGACGTCAAATTTTGCGCGCTTTCGGTACCGCGGGTCGCCTTCGTCGGTGGAGAAGGTTTCCGCGTCGTCCGGTTAGAATATGATGCACCGATATTTAGTTACTCCCTCCGTGCCCTCTGGCTTGCCCGAACTTCGACAGACGTGGAAACCGCAAAAAAAGGTAGACGCTTAAATATGATTGCAGGGCCCCTTTAAAGGGATGCTGAACCGAAATCTGGATTCCCCAAAACACGCGGCAAAAGTAAGCAACGGGATGCTACAAACACCAAAACATCACTCATACAGCGATATCTCGAACGGATGACCGTATTTTAAAAAAAAGGGGGCGCATTTGGCAGGAATGTTGACGCCATGTTTCTCCGAGAAGGAGAGGGAACGGCCTCGCGTCTTCTCCGCCTCGCGGCCTTGAGGGAGCGAAACGAAGAGAGGAGGAAACTAGCAGGTATCTTGACGGTTACGCGCCTTGTCGGCCTGGTTCAATCTCGACTTCTTTTTCCAAAAATACGGCCGTCCATTTGAGATATCGCCTCACTAGTAGTGTTGTAGGGATTGTAGCGTCCCGCCTACATCTCCAGCATTGTTTTTTCTGAAATCCAAATTTCGGTCCACCGAGGCAAATTTTGGCCGAAAAAAGTTTCTCCTTACATATGTAGTCTGCCTGCATTGAGCAGTTTGCACCTGGTGAAAAAGTTCTCAAAGTACAAATTGAAAATTGCATGCTTTATTAGCACAGAAAAAAGCTTGTACCAGATAGGAACCACTGTTGACATAATCTGTCCTTCACAAAATTCGTCATGTCTCATCATAATGCACGTATTTGAAAATACAAATCCCCTTGCATAGTCTGCACTGCATAAAATTTCAACTTCTAAGAATTGCAGTAGGTGTGGGCTATAGTCTGAAAAATATGATACACCAAAGAGTATTTAAGATACAGTAACTTGAATAGAGTATTTAGGCTAGTACAGGTCTGAGTTTGGTTCAGCACTTGGGCTCGTCTACCTCTCCTGCTGCAACCAAACTGTCTGACCTGCAGACACCGTTTTCCCATCTCTTGAACAGTGATCAAAGAAAAAAGTCATAAAAGACAGTAATAAAGCCCATTCTGCAACCATTTCCTTCTTTTCTTTCCTCGACTTTTTATACCTTTAATCTCTCGTCTTCCTTATCCAGTGCACCTCAAAGTGTACACTCTATGGTACATACCAGGGGTGGCCAAGCTGCGGCTCTTCGCGTGTTAAAGTGCGGCTCACGGCTCCCTCCCCTACCCCCCCCACCCCCCCCTACCCCACCTCCTTTCCGGTCACACCAGCACTTCCCCAAAAAGAGAAATGGAACACGTCTTAAATCGAAAGACAGGTTACGGGTTGGTAGTCTTGTGCTACTGCTACCTTACGTACAGATTGACTGCATTTGGCTCGGATAGATTGAATGTAGTTCGAGTTTGTTCGTTTATTGCTCTGAACAAAAGTTTGCCACCCCCCCCCCCCCCCCCCCCCGGCTCTTGGAAGTTTTGTGCTTTCGTTTGCGGCTCTTAGGAGGGGTCTGCCTGGCCACCCCTGGTATATACCAACAGCCCTCAGTGCACTGTATTTTTGTTTTACACACATTGGTTCATCCATACAACAAAACAATAACAATTATACATTCCTCATAGAACTAAAAGTAAGGGATTTATCGCCTATTCAACGAAAAACAATCCTGTGAAGGACGACATCACGCAGCTTCAGGTGGTGCCACCACTGGCAGCATCTCTGCGTTCTCCGACCTGCTTCCCAACCTCGAGTTCAGATTCCTTCCAAGAAAGAGCAGCACTGCCGTGACTGCGCTGACAACTTCCAAGAGCAGAAACACTCCTCGCCACTGGTAGTACTCTGCGATGATGCTGAACGGCAGCCCCGCAAGGACTCCACCTACTGTTGGAAAAGAAGCATATGCAAACTTGGCTAATGCGTTCTTACCAAAAATGCCACTGGTCCTGTCCTTCCACAGACGAAAAGTGTTGAGTCTGAATCAGTATATACCACACAGGAGACAAAATCCCTGTGCAATGGTTCTCAAATGGCAGTCCACAGACCCTTTAGGGTTCCCAAAGGCCTTCTTAGGGTCACTGAAGCCCTCAACCGCTAAACAAAGCAAGCAATAAAACTTTTTTTTTAAGCATGAAATGTTTATAAATCCTACCGCCCAATCTCAAGATGTTTTCTGTTTATCCATCCGTGCATTTTACTCTAAATTTAGCGGGGAAAGTGGTGTCACGTGACCTATACACCTATACAAGTGGTGGCACGTGACCTATACGTCAACTCAGTCTTCCCGCCAAATTTTGCAGGAAAATTGACGTCTTGAGGCCAAAACATTAATTCGATTTTCCCACTAAATTTAGCAGGAAAGTTGGTGTCACGTGACCTATAAATCAATTCAGTTACCTGCTAAATTTAGCGGGAAAATTCACGTCTTGTGACCTAGACACCAATTTAGTTTCCCTGCTAAATTTAGCGGGGAAAATCAATGTCATGTGACCTACACAACCACTGAGTTTCCCCACTAAATTTAGAGGGAAAATATGTCAGGTGACACCCCAATCCCCTCACCAATTCCCTATAATGCATTCCATGCATTATAGGAGTTTCAAGGGAAAGGTTGCTGCCACTTCACAAATTTAAATAGACCAAACCATGTGCACCAAGCCAAGTGAGTAGGGTTGATTATTCTCCATTTCAAAACATGTTTATATTAATTTTTGTTTTAATTTACCCTTTTGTTATTGTGCCGCCGCCGCCGCCGCCGCCGCCGCCGCCGCCGCCGCCGCCGCCGCCACCGCCGCCGCCCCCCCCCCCCCCCCCCCCCCCCCCCCTTTGCACTACGCATAGAGAAATTGGCCACACATGAATGTAATGTTTGGTCTTTTAGATGGTTAGAGCCCATATATAGTGAGCTATGACCATAAACAGACAGTGGCAGAAAGTGGCTTTTAGTGCCCTTTAAAGGGGTAGGGAAACGAAATTTCAGCGCTCATTTTCTAGCTTTAATGTGTTGCATGTTGCACCCTAACCTCGAAAACACCAGTCTTCCGTTGAAAAGCACAAGAAAACTAATTTTAAAGCTAAATAAACTATCTCCAATGTGCACACTGGTGGATGCATGCGAAGCCTGTTTGGGAGGTAGTAGTCTAGCAACGTTGTGGAATCTGTTACGTAGTCGTGACGTAGCAGATTCCTTCGAAGCAGCGCCGCTCTTCAGCATTTCAACGTTTTCCTTCTCAACTCACAAATCGCGCATTGTACCAAACCTACCAAACGGTCCAAGAAGACGGAAAGGAAGGACTCCCGTCCTTCTCGGACCGTCGTTCGTTCAACCGGAAACAGCCATTCTCCCCCTAGAAGATTAGCCCGTCGCTCAAAACTCGAACAAAAGTACCTTTCCCCACCTCGTTCAGCCCTAAGCTGACAGTGTTGTGGAAGCTACGTGCTCCTTGGGCCAGCCACACGCTTGTCACCCCCAAGGGTACTTTGAACGGCTCGGTTGCAACGCGCTTACGCTATTGACACCACCACAACGCTGACAACGCCACCAAGGGCAAAGCTCATAATCACGCCAGCCTTGCTACGTCACGAACGCGGGGAATCTTTTCTTTCTGTTTTTGTTTGTGCCGGATATCCCATGACGCATTGCGCTCTCCGTTCGCTTCTCTTCGAGCGCTTGCTCGAGTGCACCGTTTGGAACGAAAAATATAGCCAATCGTTCAAAATACAAACGTGTGATTATCATTTACGGTTAATATCCGTCATGCTTTACTCATTTCCGAACGAAATTTGAATATTTCAATTTTTGTTTCAGTAACCCTTTAACGTGCAAGAGATATGCTAGAAACTCGGTGGCTGTAACTTGAGCAGGTGCTAAGCGGTCACCTCAGTGCATCTCTACGTGCCGGTCCCCGATCCTGCTTAAGAAAGAGCTTACCACTGCCAGCCAGGGCGACGATGGCGTGCGACGTGCTCGTGAGGTGCGCAGGAGCAGACTCGGAAGCGACGACACCGAAGATGGCCATTGGGCCGTACGTGCCCACCCCGAGGACCAGCCCGATGGCACCGATCCACCACTGCAAACCCGCCAACCGTCAACCGCGGGCTCCAAGAGTTTGATTCGGGTATGGTGCCTGGCACGCATCTTTAACCGGTGTGTCTACCTGCCCAAGTCCTATTCTGCCCATCGCATCGAAAGTGGTCACAAAGTGGCAACAGACGACGACACAAAAGCTGGTGTGTAACGTTGTCGGATGCTGTGATCCAGGCGGTGGTGCTAGAAGTCCCAGCCATAAGTACTACAAGCGAACGTGAGTGTCGCTGTCGTTGCCGTGTCCCCTCGTCCTAGTTGCTAAAGATTTTGTGGACCGTCAAGCTGGAGAGGGACTTGCAGCGAAACACATGTCTGCTACATCCACCGCCATTGTTGTAACTCCGCCAGAATCACGGCCGGTGACAACGTGACATTTCTGCAACACCATCGGGCGGAAATCGACGGACCACTCTTTTGCAACGCTGTAAACACACCAGTTGAAGACACGTTCCGGGAAACGTAGTTCGGGGAACTTGCCTCCGAGGATTCCCGACCGACGTTGAAGCCCAGCAGATGAAAGGCTACCGCAGAGCACGCCGTGAAGAGCACAGCCAGTGGAACCCTTGGGCTGCTCCGCGACGAATCACTCGTGCGCACTTTCTTGTCTGTCAGGTATCCTGCCAAGATGCCTCCCAAGAGTCCTCCAGCCTCTATGCAGCTCATGAGGGCACTCGCTGCATGCCGGAGGCGCCAACCTCAGCTTCCTTAGATAGGGACGGCGCTGAATGAAAGGCACCGCTAAAATGCATCCCCAACTCTGGGACAAGCTCTCATTGCTGTGGTTTCTGTGCAGGCAGCTTGGCAACTCGGGCCATGCAAGCAAGCCAACAAAGAAGCAATTCGGAGAAAGGAAGCGCACAAAAATGTTGGTTTCTTCTCAAAAACAAAACAAAAAAAGAGTGGCCGAACTGATGATTTGGAGTCATCCCCGAACTAGTTGTTTGAAAGAATGTTTTGATTAGCTATCTTCCCCAGGGCCCCAACCTCACGCTATGAAATTTAACATTGTCACTGCCTTCTACTCTTTAAGACAAAAAAGTCAATTAGTCAGACCGCCCAGTCACTCGACACATATACACACTATAGTATTATCGAAACAAGATGTGTTTTAATTTTTCCATCCTATTACCTTCCTAGTAAATACCCAGATGGATAAGTGACCACAAAAGTAGGGGTTCGGCAAGAAAAACTGTGAACCAGTATGAAAACATTCAGCAGAGGCTTGTATTAGGGCAGCATGCAACGATGACCCATAAGAATGGATAGTACGCACCAGCAAACTGAGAATGGCCGAGGTCTTGTATGAGGTACAGCTGGCCCCAGTCGACTGCACCAGTCTTGGCGCCGAAGGCTGTCAAGTAGCCCAGGGACATCAGCCAGATGAATGGACTTTTTACCAGATCCATCACAGTTGCCAAGCTACGGTTGTCCTCACCTAAAGGTTTATACGACCATTGTCACCACCAACAAGGGGCCTAGTTAGGGAGGTCCATAGTGTTTGAGACAATTAAGTGGTGAATTACTTTTCAGTAATTTTCTTTTTAATTATTACAAATAAGGGTATAATTTAATTTAGAAAACTTGCTGGGTATCATCAAAAATCACTTTTAGGAAGATTTAAGGTTCCAGCAGTGTTTCACTACGCTCTGACAGAAGAGACAATCTAAATGTGGAGGATCATTAACCGAAACCTCGATTAGTATTTTAAAGTGATAGCGTTAAGGGCGAGACATTGCTGATTTCGGCCTTGTGGGTTATCGTCACCACGCATGTGAAGAATGTTTTTTAGTTATTAAAATTCTGTGCGTGTTTCAATTTGTTTAGTAGCGTTCAATGATTCCCAACAACCCTCCGTATGAAACTACTGTCAATCAAGACTGGTTATAACAAAGTCGATGGGAATCTGAAATCACTTTGCTATATCCGCTTCTTCGTTACATCTAAAATCCATAAATGTAACACGCAAAAAAAAAAAAAAAAGTACTATATGCAGTAAACTCTTACTTGAGCGAACGTCGGTTTGACAAATATTTCAGAATAACGAACTTTAAAAAAATTCTCAGCAGTTTCCTATACATTTTATGTAAAAAATGTTTTAGTTAGACGAATTTTGGAATAGCAAATATTTCAGTTCAAAGAACTTGATCGGTGGACCCAGGATTATTTTTGCAATCAGTTCAATGAAGTTTGGTGCTCTGCAGTGCTGGCTTAGCCAATGCCCGCCGCCGCCTCTGCAGTGGTGGCATATCATCGCTAGCGTTTACAGAGCCGCCGAGGTAAAGCGGCGGTGCGGAAGACAAAAACGAACCCCGTGGTGTGTCTTTTTTTTTCCTTATCATCGGTTCCGTTCGGCCATCTTAGTTTTGGGTAACAACGGCAGGACGGCAGTTTGTGCGCCCACTTTCGTAATGAGTACGACGAAACAGAAATGGTTGTCTCCATCAGACAAGCTCAAAATCCTTCAGCGTCTGAACAACGGTCAAAGGCAAGTGGACGTTGCGAAGGACTATGGGATTCCACCGTCGACGTTGTCAATGATAGTGAAGCAAAAGTCAAAGCTTGAAGAAGAAACTGTGTTCAATCCCAACAGGAAACGACTCTGCACGAGATATTTCAAGCCAGTAAACAATGCCGTTGCAGTATGGCTTCGTCACAGCAATGAGCAGTGCCAGGGGAAGGGCAAAAAAAATATAGACTCTCTGGGTAACTTTGTTACTTCATGCGCTTCAGGAGCGTTGGTGCAAATGAATATTAGTTTTTTTTTTTCAAAATGAGAAAGGCAGCAACGTAACTGTTATGCACTTTGTATATATCGATGTACATGACTCCATAAATTGCATTTCACACTTTTGACTCGATATTTGCTGTGCCCTATGCTATACCATATTCTAGCGAACATATTCAGTTTAGTGACCTTTCACTTAGGTGAACTATTTCCTTGGGTCCCTTGAAGTTCACTCAATTGAGAGTTTACTGTATAACACGGGCCATCAGGGGCACATGTTTACCGTGCTTGCAGAAAGTGGTTGAGGTTTCCCTGCACGTGCTCTCTGCTAGATCGGAAGACTTCTCACCAACTGCGATAAGCTCCGATCGAAAGAAAATCCTGCAACCTACGTACGGACCGCATCCAGAGCCCTATCGACAGCTGTTACGACTGCCACGGAGGACGCCGGCATTGGACGGCATTCTTCACGTTGATGCACACTTTGTTGAGAATGGCAACACACTTTTGTTTCGAGGAGATTGCCTTCGTTTTCCCCGTCGAGGTGCCGGCGGTGCCGGGACTTGCCATTGTTGAGTAGCCACAAGTCGCTGAATCGGTGCTTGTGCGAAGCTAGACTTTCGCGCAGAGAGTAACCACACCCGCTAACGACGCCGACAGGGAACACGAAGCAAACAAAGCGCACACGGCACGTTCGCGCTCAAGTTTGTGTTTCGTCTGTATTCGCACCTTTAGCTCGTTGCTCGCCCTCCCGCGGCGGAAACGGGAAGCGCCCTAGTGAGGGTCCCCCGATTGTCCTGCTCAGCGGGCACGGTGGAACTGCTTGCGAGGATGGCTTGCGAAATGTCATTTCCGAATGCAAACAACACTCTTCACTGTTCCAACGTAGGGCTGCAGCCGGTATAGGGTTGTACCTTATTAGAAAGTTCTAGTATTGCGTATAGAAAGAAACGCAAGTGCTGTGCGTTTGCGTTTCTTGCGTGCTCCACGTTGCGCATGCGCGCCATCACCATGCGTCAATATAAGATTGCAATTTTGGGCTCCGCGCAAGCGCACTGTGGAACACACAAAGCTAACGCAAACACACAGCGCTTACGTTTGCTTGTATAGGCTATACTAAAACTCACTATTGTAAAATCCCGAGAGATGCCCCACCCCCGAAAGGTAACCAATCCCTATTGTTGGCTTGATTTGCAATTTTCTTTTAAATACCGAGAGGTAGCCCAACTTCTGACTGGTAAGTGAAGTCATCTTTGCTTTTTTGTCCTGCCGTGATAACATGGTTTGGCAGGGACATATGATCTTAAATTATCATCTTTTAAAACTTTTCTCGATTGAACACCGAAAGTTAGCCCACTCCTTATTTTCACACAATTTTCTCTCGATTTTAGGTGGGCTATCTCTCAGGATATTACGGTACTGCTTCACCGGCTTCCAACGCCAACGAAACGTGCTGCGGTGAGCAGACGTGCAAGCAGGTAGGCGTTCCTTCGAATTGGAAAGGCTGAGATTAGCAAAACGACCGTGCGTAAAAATGAAAGTAACTAACTGTTACAAAAAGATTATTAAATTTAAGAAAAACTTTCTTTTCTTTTTTTTTCTTGGGGGGGGGGGGGGGGGGGTGGTCATTTGGTTTGGAAGGATATTGGCGGCAAAATTGGAAGTTTTGCCGATTGTCAAAAGTCGCGACTTTGATAGCACCATATGCTTTACCCAGAATTAATGTAATTTCACATGGATTTCTCACATTAGTGAGAATGTTTTCATTGATTTTAGACTTCTTATTTCATAACTTTGTAATTAAAAATGCTAAAATTCGTGCCTGTGATGATAGTTAGCACACTTTTGATTGTCATACTTGTTAATGTGTTTGAAATTAGATCATAAGCAACAAATTATATGAGCTTGAAAAATTATGTATTAAAATATCTTAATTTTAATATTATTAAAGGGACCATGAAATGACTTTTTTACTTTTTCCAGATAACTTTTACAATAAACCGTCAATGTTCACTGAATGCCGAACAGGCATCCGTTTTCGTCTCGGTTTATTAACTTCTACACAAAAAATTAATGAAATATTGACTTTTTCTTGACCGCAAAACAAGCCGTGACGTACGATGTTTCCGGAACCGGAAGTTCTCTCGGCAGTAGGAGATGGGAGCGTTAGCGAGTTGGGGTGCGCCGGTGGGTTTTACTGCGCCGATGTCACCGACGTATTTTCTGAATCGGCGCCTCTCATCGCCGCATCGCAGCTGAGCGAAATTCAATGAGATACGTTGCGCTACAGCGACAGCAAGGGACTAGTCCCATACGCCGGTATGCCTGTTGGGAAGTGCAGATGGAAACAAATTGCCGCGGCTTTTTTCGCGGTCTCGGAGATGCAGGAGCGAGCCGACGTTAAAAAAGATACGTTTGAACTACGAGTGTCAGCAAGAGCCACGTAAATACCTGTTCACACTCGGAGCGGACGCGCGCGTTTGATGAAGTGCTGTATTCGCGCTGTTGGTAAGCGCTTCGGGACCGATCTTTTACGATTGCAACTCGATACTGACGCGACACTCGGCAAAGAAAGGTTGGACCGGTATTGCACGTATACCTCCCACGAACTGTTACAGCTCGACAGTGACGTGCAGTCTGTCAGAATAAAAATGGCATACCAATAACAAAGTGTACATACCGTGCTACGAAGGTAATCCATACAGCGTTTATTTCAGCTCTATATCACACAAAACAAGGAGAGGATCGACGAGGGTCCCTTTTCGACGAGTGTTCGTCAACACTGCCTCGGAAAACAAGGGGAAGAGATTGACCTCACCTCTTAACCTAAAATTGAGGTCAGCGATCAAACTATAATACGGAAGGGTCCACAAGGGTAGCGCGGGCATATTCCATTCAGTACGCCAGCCGGTCGTAGGCAGACAGACGGTCTTGCGACGAAGCAACGCTGCGCCGAGTCGGAGTGCCTGCTAGGCCTATATTCTGAGAGCTTCGTCGGAGCGGGATTCGCGGCTATTGTCGCTCTTCTCGGGTGTTTGTGGATCCAGCGTTCTTGTTCGTCGTGGTTTGTTTTAAGTACACTTTTTCTTGCTGCTTGAAGTCGGCACGCGCGAGATGAACACGTAGAAAAATAAACGTTCAGTCAGTCAGAGTTTTGAGAGGAAGGAAACCAAAGGAAATAACCGTTCTTATGTCGGCCCTGCCCTACTGCGCACGCGCAGTAGTTGCTTCGTTTACCACACGATAGATGGCGCTTGGCTGTCAGCATTATCAAATTTGGCAATTTTCGCCACACATCTCTAATTATGCTACAAAATGTGGGTCTGAATATTTAACAAAACTTTTAGGAAACATTCGCCGGCTATTTATTGTTTACGATCGCGGTGCTGGTGAGGTAGGCTCTTACCCAATAGGCGACGTGGATTCGGCTGACGTGCTCCATTTCTGCGGATGCATCGTAGTGAAAAGGCAGAGCTTTCGAAGGAGAGAAGTCGCAAAAGAGTCCAGTTTTCTTTTAAAAGTTCTATAGCAAAATAATTTTTTTTGGCTCCCTAGTTTTGTGTTTTTGTGTTTCTTTTCACACCTTTTACGACGTGCGGTGGATGAAATTCGATTTTAAAATAATTTCATGGTCCCTTTAATATTAATACAAATCGCGGCAATGTATGCCCCCATTAACGCCACAATCACAAAAATATGCCATTTAACCATAAGAGTCTTTCCAGAAAAGTATCTTTTTGTTTTCTTTTTAGCATATGAAAAACTCTGACATTGTTATCAAGATAGACAAACAGTCAAACACTGAATGAAATATAAAGTCCTACTATATGTGTCACGCACGTTGCTTTAAAAACACACACACTTTAGCTGTCTGAAACGGATTGTCTTTGGGTTGTTGTAGTGAGAACAGCATGTCTTAATTTATGTTTTGTGAATATATTTTAAAAATTGGATTTATTCTGTTTTTGTTGTCCTGGGAAACATGTTAAAGCAATTAATCATATAAACACTCAAAAACCAATTAAAAGGGCCGCAATTTATTATTTCACATGACAAGTATCTGAGTGTGAAAAGGCAGCAGGAATGCACAAGTATCAGGACTATTTTTTTCAACAAATAGAATACAATAACTGGATTGAACATGTATGTCATAAAATAAGGTTTCCGCAAACAACTTCTTTAACTAAATAATTACGATGTGGGACACATCTTGAGTTATGAAAGAACCCGAAATTAAGACCTACTATACTGAAAAATTAAATCCAAAATAGAGGTAGTTTCAGTTTCGCTCCAGAATTAAAATGTGCCTCCTGGTGTAAATATTACGCTAAACACCGGTTTTGTTTTAAAGATAAGGAGGTGACCCGCGCTCATAACACCCTAGCTTCCTTGTATTACCAGAAATAACTTGCGTCGCTCAGTGAAGCCAGCCCACTAGAAAGGCTCAACAGCGGCATGCCCCTTCGACCCTCACTATACCCGCCATTTTGGAAATCGAGTGGCGCCACCTATAGTGAATTGGAGACGCAAATAAAAAGCTAGATTTAAAGGAGCTGTGCAACGATTTTAATGTTGAAAGAATTGGCATCTTCTACTTTTGACATTGTTTATCTTGACACAGAGGACACGCCTCCTTCCATCAAAATGTTGCGATTGAACCGCGCAATCGCAAGGCAAGAATTAGAATATTCCCCGACCTGCAGCCGCGAGCAGCGGTCATGAGAACCACGCGGCATGACGTCAATGGGAGTCTTGTAGAAAGATAGCAAGTTGTGCGAATACCTGCTCGATAAAAGGTAACTTTTCTATAAATCTTGTTGTTCCAACATAAATATAAATGCGTCAAAAAACTGGTATCATCGACTAAACTTTTATTATACCAAGTTTTAGTGGCGCCATTTATCCCCAAGGTCTCAACTCTATCTGCTACCGCGAACAGCCGCCAGAGGGGGAGGGGGATAGAGCCGGACGGGTATGGCCGGACCCGGATGAGACTTTCCTCCTTTCACCATATTGTTCACGCTGCACCCACCAGCAGGTGGCCACGTGGTTGCGAGCGGGTAAGTTCTCGCTGCTCACTGATGGCTTTAGAGAGAAAGCTTCACCGGAACGCCGAGCGACCCGCATTGACGTCACAGTGCACGTGACTCGGAAAATGGTGAAGGAGTTGAGAGGTGCCGAAAACCTCAATATTTGTCCAGTTTTAAAATAAAAACTAGGACATGCAGGCAAAAGCGTTTTTTTTTTGACTTTACTACAGAAAGGTAGAGATACCAACTCCCAAATTATTTAAGCAAAGCACCGAAATTGTTGCACAGTCCTTTAAAAAATGTGCAACTTTTTTTTTGCCCCTCTTTCATTAAAGCTTCTAATTTATAAAACCTTAATTTGCCCTAAACTTGAATATACCGCCTCAATCTGGAACCCTGGTATCACCCAATTGCATCTGCCGTAGAATCCATTCAAAACCGCTCCACCCGTTTTATACTTTCTAACTATCATCGCACAGCTAGCACCACTTTAATGAAAGCATCTCTATCCTTGCCCACTCTTTCTCTTCGTCGAAAGATATCCTGTCTATGCTTGTTCCATAAGATATAGGTATCGCTCTAACCTTACTCTCCGCCAAGCATTATTTTCTGAACCATTTTACATATCATCACACACCGATCATCAATTAAAAGTTGGGATCCCTCATTGCAGGCACACCTACCTTTAATGCCTCGTTTTTGCCCCAAACCTCGATTGAATGGAACCGCCTTCCCGCAGCCATTATCACAATCACAAGCCTCAGATAAATTTAAAGAGAAACTCCGGTGATTTTTTCATGGTCGCTGATTTGTTTCAAAATTGGCTCAACACACTGATAGACATGGCTCTACGAGTTCCCCAAGTATTGCGTGAAAAGAAAAAAAATTTGCGAAGTTCTTGAATTTTCGAATTTCGTTTTCAGTGTTTCTCAAACCAGGAGCCCCTACTGGCAACATTGAAGTGTGACGACAGAAATGCTACGAAGTGGGCAGTAAATCATGTTCCCAACTGATTACAAGACGTTTGATGGTGGGAAAAGAATGTTTGGTAACTGATTCACCGAGAAGCACGCAAAAAGCACTCGACATATTCTGTTTAAGACTACATGCACGACCTGAAAGTCTGTGCCATGTGTGACGTCACACCACTGAAGAGCGCGCAAAAATTTGAATGCTGGTTTCGGCATTATCTTCATTTACGGTTTTCTCAATTGCTATTTTGAATTTCGAGAAAATAAATAGCATAATATGACGAATGAAGTCCGGGTAGTCAGAAAATGCAATTTGTTAGGTAGCTCAAAAAACGGCTGGAGTACCCCTTTAAGACTGCCATTACTAACCTGTTACATGATGTTTAGTAGTGATTTTTTGTATTTTTTGCCTTTTCATTGTTACTGTAAACAACTAAATTTTTACGAGGACTTAATTTTCGCGAATTTCGCGAATCGCTTACAATTTGCGAAAAATATGTCCCGCGAACAATTCGGGCAATATGTGAACGCTACGGAAGCTACACTCGATTCGCGAAAATTAGAACCCGCAAATAATTTCAAATTTTCAGCTTTGGCCCTTTGGCTTTGTTTAGTAGTTATTTTGTGTATTTTTTGCCTTTTCGTTGTTATTTGCTTTGTTCCATTTACTGCGCCCCACTCCTCTCTCTAATGTGGTGGGCCCTGAGAGACATAATAAATTAAATGAATGAAATGAACCACTCAATTGGAGTCACGTGGTTTGTGGGCCAGGTTTACAAAACGAGCTGCAGCCTGCAAGGAGCCAAAAGCATTCACATGGGATTGGGAAAACGTGATCGCTTCGCTATAGCCGCTATTTCATTATAACTAAGGTTCCGCGTTTTCGGTTTTTATTTTTTCAAAATTCGCCATACTTTTTTCGGTGTTTATTTAAAGATTCAATTTTCATTTTTTTTCCCGGTGTATATTTATGCCCACAAAAATTTACAGTTTTTTTCGGTGAATATGAAAGAAACACCATCGGACACCGGACCAGATGATCCTTGCAACTCTAAAATTCGTGATCCCTCAAGGAACAACGGCACAAATACACTGAATAACAAACATCGACACTTTATTTGGCAAATGTGTGCAACTGTAAGAAAAAAACAAAAAAAAACACACAGATGTACAAACAAGTCAGTGTCCAAAATACATGGAACTTCACCTTCTGTACATCAGGATTACGTGATCTTATTATAGCAAACACATATGTACTTTCCCAGGTTCGCGTTGATCCAAACTCATTTTTTCCTTATTAATGAACCTGGGCTTCGAGAATGCCCTCTCAATGTTAACACTGGACACTGTCAGGCTGAGGAGATGAAGCGCTGCCTGATCCAAAATTGGCCAATCAACCAAATGCGACTACCAAAAGAGACACGGTGCAACGTTTTGAGGCATAACATATTTTGTGTACTCACTAAACTCTGACTGCGGATCTTGCACCGAAAACTCCAAACCCTAATTATAACTGACTTCGTTATAAACGGTCATGACAGTATGACACAATTTTTACTAATTAAAATGTTAACTATTCAATATAACAAACCATTTATTTTTCCAAATGCTACATAACCCTTTATGCAGGTACTTTAATTGTTACTGACAACACCAATCTCTATTTTATATACAATACATAGTTTTTGCGAGAAATGTTTGCCCACATTTCGTGAAACACCTGGCATGACATTTCGCCTCAACAGTTACTAGATGTGTGTTACTTATCATAGCCGCATAGAAGCTCAATCACACATCTGCAGATATTCTGCATGCAACAAACCAAATTTTTGCCAATGTGCTCACAACAGGCAAATAATGTAATATGTTCCATTCTCAAAGTATTCATTTGGTCAGTGCCTCTAGCATATATTTGGGCAGTCATAATAGCTGACTCGACACTTCCTAAACCATGACTGCTCAGCCGAACGGCTTTCGATTAAAGGCATGCAGCACTTGACACCCTTAGACCTAATAAACCAAAGAATTTGTCCCCTATAAGCTTCCCCAGTAAAAAAGAAAAAAAAAAGGCAGATAAATCTGCAGAACTTTTTGTTTTGTTCTTTACTCTACAATCTAAGAAATTCCAGCGATTGGCCCTACCAAATGCTTTGCGGGAAAGTACTAGACACTCCAAATATCTTACAGTGCATTGTCTAATGCTTTTCTCCTAACATAACAGTCAATATGGTAATCTGTTACCTTGCCGAGCATCTTCCACGACAGCCTGGAGGCCAACGTCAGTGGGCTTGTCCACCAGTGCCAACCTAGAAGCAAGCCCCGCAACTATGGGTAGGGCACCTGTAGGATATGGCATTCGTATCAGTGAATGACAGCCTGGCAAATAGCACTGGTCATGAATTAGGAGATCTTATAAGCAATTATGCATGAGTTACACATTCATTACCTTGAGCTTCATTTTACTATAACTGCTTAACGAAAACCTTGGGAAGACCATTGTGTATATATGATGACAACGCAACTGAGCTAAAAGCAGTTGAAATATTTATGACAAACGCATGCATTTGTAGTCACTCTGGGCCAGTGACACACCTTTTATAGATACACTGAGCAACAATCAACATGCTTGTTTTCCTAACCGACATTTTCAGTGATGTGATTGGCCTAAGCCATTTTGGAGCACCTTTTGGAGCAGCCAAAACAGTGTTTTGGAGCAGGAAATGTGGCCTTTGGAGCAGCCAAAAGAGTGTTTCGGAGCTAAAAAAGTGACTTATGGAGCATATATTCTTAGAAAAATAAATATTTGTTTTAAGTGCTGGACAAACGAAGGGCACTATGTGTTGTGTTGTGATGTGACGTGTTGGGGCGGAACTCGCTGCTTGTGTTTTTGTTGCCGAGACATCCCACAAGTATACAGTGCTGTAAGCGTTGCCGAGCAATTCCGAAAAAAAAAACAAGAAAAAAAAAACTTGCTATTGTTTTACTGCTTCCCGACGTGGCAGATTTTTATAAAAAGTAAGCAAATGTAAAACAATGAATTGCAAGCGTCCCGGCTGGTGCCTCTCGTGCAATCATGTTCACATGCAAGCGAAGGCAACATCGGCAGGCTTCCAGTTACACGTGCTTCGTCGCGCGAGCGGAGACAACGGCTGTTCGACCGAAACCGAAACCATGCCACTCCGCTCCGTCGCCAACTGGTTCCCAAAATAGTATGCAAAATGTAACTGTCCAGCATACTACAATAAACAGTACAGCGGCGCGTGCTTGCCAGGCCGGCAGGCGAGGTACAGGCTATACACACAGAAAAAAAGAACCTGAGTATCGATGCAAGACATTGCGAATCAGGGTCAAAAAGTTCTTGGGCCGCTTTGTGCAACGACTGAACTCGAGACAAACAAGCGCGGTGTGCGGGTTCAGCGTGCAGGCATTGCCTCCTTTGCTTTTGCTCACTTCTCGTCGTCAACTTTTTTCGCGGCAGATTTTACACGTACCGAGGTCCCTCTCGAAAGAAAGCTTATCGAGAGAAACCTAGGTAATCAAAACTTCGCCAAGCAGTCATTGAGTTAAAGAGGGATTTTTATAGCAGCGTATGATTTAAACAAGAGCAGGAATGTCGATGCGTTTCAGTTTAAAAAGCGCCATATCTGCAGCGACCTGGGGACGGCAACACACGACGTCGCGCAACCACGGCTACTGTGGTCGCGCGAGCGCTTCAGCTAACTCGCCGCGCAAGGAACTCTCGCCGCGCGGCGTGTCTGGCACTCGGCACACTAACATCGGAGCGTCCGCACAGGCCCGCGTCTATCGCTAAAAAAATTAAAAAAAAAAAAAAAGTAAGAAAGACGCCAGACGAGATTCCCGAGACGACGAGAGCGCGAAACGCGAGACGACGGGAAAAATCATGCAAAACCGAATAGACTATTGATGCAGGGTACTTTGTGTCCGGCGGCGTCTTTTGTGCCACCAAGCTCTAGCATGCTCAATTACGGTTCTCAGTTTAGTTTCGTTTTTGAAAGGCAACCAAAATTGGTCCTTTGGCGCAGGCTTGGCGCAGATTAGCCACATTTTGGCGAAATGTAGCAGGATGTAGCAGGATTAGCCCCTTGGCGCAGTTTGGCGCAATTGGCGCAGCAATCACATCACTGCATTTTTCACACTCAGCACCGTGATGCAGGCGAAACATAATGCAGAAAGGAGTGATCAAAATAGTTCACTACCTAATTTAAACGCACCTTTGTTCTCAGATCGAATCTGGCCTGAAATAGTGCGTATCCAAGTGAACATTTTTCTTTTGCAGGATACACTGGCATAGCATGGCTGTGGAGGTTTGTTCTTGACAAAATGCCATTCCGTTTAATTTGCAAATAAGCATCAGCCTTGCTAATTGATATTTTATTTTATTTATTTATTTATTTATTACGTACTGAAGGCCTTGATTAGGACCTTGCATCTGTGGAGTACAAATCTAAAAGATGCAAATAATGAAAAAAAAAAAAACACCCACACACGGTTTATGAGCTCGCTCCCGGGTGGCTTGTTGCATGGTAAAACACTTAAAATAGCAGCAGAGGCTGGCGATGAGCAAGATATTCGCGATAATTAGTACTTTTAGCGAAATATATGAACTGTGACCACCTGTGAGCAAGCTCACAAACCATTGTGCAGACGACCAGTATGACCAGTATGACCGCCGTGTTTGCTCTATTTTAATACTTTACTATCTTTGACTTTAACTCAGAAAAAAAAAAAATCAGTAACACAACTTTTCGCGAAACTATGTTCCCGTACTCAATTTCAAGATTTGCATTTTTTATTCGAATTTTGCAAGGCGTGCCAAATGTGTTAGTCCTTCTTCCATTTTGCTGGGGCCTCCTTTCACCCCTCCCCTCCTACAGCATTTTGTCATGGGCGCGGGACACACCCCCCCCCCCCCCCCTTTCCCCGAAACAAAGTTTTGGCTAGGTGCCTAAAGTGACCGTAAATCGATGACCAAATCTACAAAATTATAAAGGGGGAAAAAAAAAAAAGGCTAAAATAGTGCATATTACTTTCAGAGAAAACAAAACAAAAATCTCGCGATTTTGATTGACCGAAATGTCCGTGCACCGAAACGCCCTACACCGAAACGTCCGTGCACCGAAACGCCCTACACCGAAATGTCCGGATCCCATGCCGAAAATGCGGAGCATAGGAACTTCCACAACGCAGTACGTTTTGAACACCCCCCCCCCCCCCCCTTTTTTTTTTTCTTTTTATCGCTTTTTTATAGAATACGTTTTATTCCTGAAGGACACCCTCCTGCGTTTGGGGGTGGGGTGTTAATTCGACTATTATGTTTGTGTCACTTGTTTACAGTAATTCTCCATTGATTTTATTTTGCACCCAAAAATTAAACATATACGGAGGTGGCCGAAGCTTGGAGGAAAATTTGAGAATGACGCTGACCTTTCCTTTCAGGTATCCCTCCCGTACAGAGTTCCAGTTCTGTGTAATGTCGCATTAATAGCTCTCATTTAGTACTTTCAATGCATCACGGGGACAAATATATCTGAGGCATTTCGACAACAACGAAAACATGTTTGGGTACCTCAAGGATGTCTGCGTGCAAAATGGGTCGTGCAAAATGTTTTGTACATTCAGTAAATTCCGCGAAGAACTAATCCCTGACGTTGATAACTTTCAAGAATACTAATACCCATTAGTTTGCTTCTCCGCGCAATAGAAGACGCAAAAAAAAGAATAAATAAAGGAAAGAAACAGCTTCCCCCCCGCCCCCCCTTAACTTGCAATTAGAATAAGACATCCCGTGAACTGACGCTAATTATATGTACGTCAGTGTTCGTCATAGTTATGCGCTGGGGTTGGCAAAGCATAGAGCATGGGCTGAGCTTCAGTTATTGTTAAAGTTTAGCTGTTCTCATCTTTGATTGAACACGACCCATTACGCGAATGTTTGGCGATGCTTATTGTCATTATCCCGAGCACTCGACTCCGGCTCATGACAATCGAGCACGTTAGGATGCTACATGACTTGCGGAGCGAAGTCGTGATATCATGTGACGTCACGGTGTCATAACGCTAATAAATCTAAGGACGTCTTAAATTTAAATCGATTTGACGCAGTGTGTCACGCGACTACGTCACATGACGTTTTACGAGGCCACGTGACGTGACATCGCTTGACAGCATATATGGTGCCTGGAGCGCGTCTCCGACTGTGTTTAGCGTTCCCCCCCACCCACACATCTAAAGTGGTCCCAAAGAATCATCAAATGACATCACAAAAGCCCGGGGTGTTCTGCTGTCGGATGTCGCGATCCTGGCGGTTGCGGCCGTAGAAATGCTGGCGAAAAGCGCGACCAAACGCGAGTGTTGCTGTCGTCGCGGCGTCCCAACTTCTGGCTACTGAAGCCACCTTGAACTACCACACGGCAGAGCGACCTGCGGCAGAACAGCCATCTGCCACATCAACCACTGCTGCTGGGACACCGCCAAAATCGCGACCGGCAACAGCATGACAATTCTATGACCGTATGACGTCATCAGGCGCAAATCGAGGGACCACTTTTTTTTGGTCGGCGCAAGCCTCTCGAGACGCGTTCCAGGCACCCTACTTGACACCAAGCACGTCAAGTGACCGCGTGACACATGATTAATCATAGTGCCTAGAGTAAGTGAATGTCCCCAGAGTACCGAAGCTTTGTTTCAGAATCGATTCGCGGCGGAGAAGTCGCGCTCCAACCCATCCCAAATATAGCGCGGCCCTGTGCGGTCGAAGCGAAGCGCGTTCAGTCAATGTAACATTCGTTCTCGTGCGAGCTCTTCAACCACTTTCCTGGACTGTGGCGACACTGTTTTGTTTTTATTAAAGTTCTTTCCTTCGTTCCGAGTGGTGCGTGACTTGCTCCTCGCTATCTCGTCTTTCTCTCTTGCCTCGAGAGTCGAAAACACATCGAAGTCGAGTGGCTTACCGTTTGAGGCGTAAAGTTTCAAACTCATGAACAGCGCAACCGGAGCAAGCAAACGAGCCGGCAATAGCCAAACCAGATCCGTAACCACTTGATAAAAAAAAAGAGAGAAAATTAACGCATTTTTCGATGTCAGAGCCTACACCCGCGCGTACCCGCCGTGCCCGTGGTAACGCGGAAACGTATTACATATATTTTCTGTTGTTTTTGGGCCGATCCTCAAAATGGTCGACTGATAACTTCCTCCACGGGCTAAACCCAAGGAGGCTAGAAGTACTAGGAGAGGGCACGTTGCAATATTGGTGAAGCCTAGTCATAAAAAGTTTCAACGATGTTGTGGCCATTGTGACCGTAGATCTCTTTGGCTATTGG